CGAATGAAGGCATACTAGCTTTACGGCCAAGTTTTCTAGCTGTTTTGGGAAGATAATTAGCCTCGTGATCTGTCGCTGCCGAACTCATTTGCAAGTAATTAAATTTGGGTGACGATTTGTCAACAAGTTTCCAAGTCGGGTCACATACAACTTTTCACTGCCAACTCATTAGGAAACCGTGGAAATGGGGGATTCGCCTGATGTTTTTCCTTCGCTTTCCTCGACCTTCACTGCCTCGTGTTCATCTAATTTCATTTCCGTGGTGCAATCAGCGGACGTAGTTATTCGGCATCCTGCAGTTTGTTTGTAGTGCGTCCTGCCCTAGGAAATTAAATTGCGAGCACTATCCGGGACCCGAGACGCCCGGGGTACTGGGTATTGCCCGAACCCCCTAGAATTTGGTAATATTTTTGGGTGTATGTTTCGCCAGCCCTGTCGCCCCTCAATTTCCGCTGGGCCCAGCAGTTTATAATTATGTGAATATGTGTGCATGGGCAGAACCAGGCGATACACCGAAAGAAAAATGTGTGGTGGGATGCTTTCTTCAAGTATTTCAGATATTATTGTTAACTAGCGCACTGGCAGCAAGTGGCATCTTAATCTAATTCGTCCATAATGCTTACATTTCGATTGGGTCCTCAGTGTTTCCCAAGACTAGTTTTTTTATGTTTAAGTCAAGACCGGCCTGGAAGGAATTGAGGGTGGTGCACATTCGTATTACTTACAATGAATGCTACAATGGATTATCTTTAGTTGCAACTAATTGGTATTAACTTTTTTATTTCCCAGATATTGGATGCCACTTGAATAATGGGAAATAGCCAGAAGCCTTAATGTGGCTTTGCATTCAGTTATATAAAGTATTAAATAAAATGTATAACAGTATTGGGAAAATAAATATAAAAATACTAATTTATTTATAAGGAATGCCTAGAATTATGCAATGGTTTTCCTTAATTTAAAGCTTGGCTTAGGGTTTATTTATTTTGTAGCACACTTTTGGGCAGCCGATCTTTGCGGCTTGAGAATTTAGAGTTGCCGCCTTTTGGGGCGGATTGATTCAGTTCCTCATTATCGATACCAGGCCGAACATAAAAGTTAGTAGGTGTCTACTGGGTTTCATGATTCAAGAAATGGCGCAACCACATTCTGAAATTTCTGTTCGCCTGGTATTTGAAATCGAAAATTTCTCGATTCGCTCGACAAAATTGATCAGAAGTCCGAAAATCATTGGCAAATTTCTCGACTTGTATACCAGGCGAACATAAAAATAGTAGGTGTCTACTGGGTTTTATAACTTACAAAATTGCGCAGTAATTTCTTTTAATTTAACACCTTTGCAGGCCCTCAAGAGTAATGAGAAATCAAAGCATTACAAATCCAAGAACCTGTTCAACTTATCTTTTACTTCCATTGAAGCTTCTTGTAAACAAACAAATATATTCTTGCAGGGAATTGTAATTAGTTTACCGCATTTTGCGTTCGCATATTTTTTTTCCATTGCATATGTGGTTTTTTTCTGGAGCTTTGAAATTATATATATTACATATGCACATGTCTACATATGCTGCTCACACCAAATGAGCGCTTAGTTTTTGGAGGCAGTGTAGACCTTGTTCCCTTGCTTCCCCTCCCTCTCTCACTCTCCGCCCCGCTCTGAGCTTGGCTTTACAAATGTATCAATGAACAGTTCTTGCAGTCATCTGCCCCTCCCTCACCCACACTGTCAGCAGAACCCCCGCTCTCCCTCTCCACTGCCCGTTCCCACTCTCCACTCTGATCTAGAGAGCTTACCAAAGATGGGCTTAACTTAGTTCCAATTTACAAGTGAATCGATCAACACACCCGCGCGCCGCGCAAAGCCCCATTAGTTTTCTCGCGATTTTCTTTCGATCGTGGTTCCGTATGTGATTGCTAACCGTTATCTGTGCATTTTCCAGCCACTTTATGCCGTTTTGAAGCCTTCGACTGCATTAAAACAGGTATGTGTGTGTTTATTAAAACATATATTATATGATTATCCCTGTTTTATGCGTGTAATTTATAGTTTTCTATTCGTTCGTTTTCATTTCGTTCGTTTCTCTTTCGTTTGTGTTTCTGCGTGTGTTTTTTGGCCTTTAACTGTGCATTTTCCAGCCATTTTCCAGCGATTTCCCTGTCGCTATTATAGCCTCCTCCAGCACCAACATGGGAATGTGTTTATTAGAAATCAAAATACATTATTTTCGCCGGGTATTGTGTGTTCAATTTATTAATTGGCCTTCTATCTTATCTTTCCCTTTTGCTCGTAATTTTGCGTGTGTTTGTTAGCCTTTAACTGTGCATTTTCCAGCTATTTTCCAGATTTTCATTTCGTTCGTTTCTCTTTCGTTTGTGTTTCTGCGTGTGTTTGTTGGCCTTTAACTGTGCATTTTCCAGCCATTTTCCAGCGATTTTCCTGTCGCTATTATAGCCTCCTCCAGCACCAACATGGGAATGTGTTTTTTAGAAATCAAAATACATTATTTTCACCCGGTATTGTACGTTCAATTTATTAATTGGCCTTCTGTCTTATCTTTCCCTATTGCTCGTGGTTTTGCGTGTGTTTGCTAGCCTTCAACTGTGCATTTTCCAACTATTTTCCAGACATCTTCCAGGCATTTTTCGGCGATTTTCCTGTCGTTTTTATGACATGTTCTAGCCTCTTCCAGCACAAATATGGAAATGTGTTTATTAAAAATAAAAACGCACTATTTTATTATATTATTTTTATTATAAGTTCAATTAATTATTTATTAGCCTTCTATTTTAATCCTCCCAAATGGGGACACTACACTTGAACGTCTTTTCTCCCAGTGCACTCCGCTCAGACAGGCCGACGTATACTTTGACCTCTATCTGCGCCTGTGTCCTTTTTTTTGCCCTTTTTTCGGCGCCCCGCGGCTATCATTTGGCGTGTGTGAACAAATCGGGACGCTCCGTCGGTGGGTTAAGGGTAAACGTGACCCCGGGCCATCGAGAAGGGCACTGGAACTGGAACGGGAACGGGGTTATCCTGTTAAGCAGAGTCCACGGGTTAGTCGCTGCGAAATAAAGAGCCTTTTAATTGAGTTGCGGTACCGCAAAGCGAATCGATATTTGCACTTTGGCCCGCAAAATTTCCCGTTTTTTGATAATGCAATTTTGCATGGAGAATCGAATTTTAAAACTAGAGAAAGTATTTCTTTTGAGGGCAGAGTGCTTTTATGAAGCTGCGAAATTGATTTATACACGGGATTCTTTTGCAAATAATGGTGGTTCTGAATGTCTCAATGTCTAAGCGCAGTGGATCGATTTGATCATACCACTTGGGGGAAATCATTATTTCCATACGGAAAAGTAGTTTGAACTCCGATGCATCCATCGTTGATATTTTCCAGCGCTGTGTGCCACTTGACTTACATTTCCCTTCTGTGAACGGGTATGAAAGCTCTCTAAAATTCCCCCACCAAAAGATGGCCTTCGCTAACCCTTTCTGCCCTCGTTTTTGCCGCGACATTTTCCCCGGCTTACGTTAAGTGAAGCACGAGAAGTTCGGCTTTGTGCATGCCACTCGAAAGGGGCGGGAAATCGGGAAAACGGTGACCTCCCCTCTTAACCCGGCTTAAGTACACGCGCCACGCCCACTTGGGACATTGCCGAGCACCACCTACTAAGTGTTATCCTGTCCTTTTAAAACTGCACTGAAAATTAAGAGTGTTACTAAATCAGATTCTCAATTCTATAAGCGAACATTTTAAAAACCGATCATATTAATTTTATTTAATTAGTATAATTAAAGAGAGGCAAACCAATCCCAAAAAGATTTTTTTGATTTTTAGTAGACAGATTAAAAAAATATTGTTATACATAGGATATTTCTCTGTGTTTAATGCAATTATATCTAAATCGGTTTTGAATTCATGCATTTTACCCACATTTCAGTTCCCAGAATTGCCAGGGTATTAAGTTTTTTTGCTGTGGGCCGCAAAAAGGACACGGGGGATCCTTCCCGGCAGGGCAAACCTACGCGAAGGCCCACCTGTCAGCTGGTCGTACTCCCAGCATTCTGTTGGCATGTTGGCCATTCGACCCCAACACGTCCTGCGGCCCAGCAAAGTGCAAACATGGAAACTACACCCGCCCTTTGAGCCTGAATGCAAATTTAAACACACTCCACACACACACGTGCGAAGTGCGAATAATAAATTAAAGAACATTAGCACAACTAACTGAACGCTTAGCTAAATAAGGGGCTGCAAGTGCTGTATTTCTAGTTTCCTGACCACCTGGCGTAAAATAAAACAACGGCCAAGCTCACACATTTGGTGGGCCAATATCAACTTTCTTTGCAGTATTTAAAGTGTAATTGCACCATTAATACATACCAATAAAAATGTCCGGCACTCTCTGTGAAAATGTTGCAGCGGTAGTTTAAACACAATCACTTGTGCATTCCATTTATGTTTCAATTGAGTATTAAAAATCAATGCAGCTTAGGGTGCATTTGGAAAATAACTACGTTTTGGCCATTAAATAATAAACACGCTCAATAGAAATTCCTCAGGCTGAATAACAAACATATTTTGGCTTTGGGCTTGAGCAAAACTAAGTGAAGAATATTTAAAAGGAATTTAATTTGAGCTTCAATAAAATAAATAAAAATCCTAGTCAATTTAAAATAATATTAAATAAAATATTCGGATAGCAAATTCTTTGTAAGAAAATGTTTAAAAGCCGAATTCAAATTAAATTGAAGTGGGTTGTGACTAAAAAGGATTTTCGCCGTACTCTATCCCAAAAAAAAGAAGGGCACCTACACTGCGTTACTCTTTAATTACATTTTGTATATATAATATTACGATTTTATTCAAGCGGAATCAAGTTTATACTAAAGTTTAACAGAAGTATTTGTATGTGGGTCCAACGGGCAAAAAAGCCTGCTCATGTAAACTTTGTTACGCTAATATTACGATTTTATTGAAACGGAAACAAGTTCATACTAAGGTTTTACGGAAATATCTATATTTGTGTGGGTCCACCACGGACAAGAAAGAAGGGGGTAAAAAAAATAGTAAGCCTAAGAAGGGGGTCGATGCCGGGATTTAGTTGGGGGTCCGCAGATGGGTTCCTCCTCAGGGGAACCTCAATCCTTGACGATGATGGGCCTCTTACGGCAGCGGCGAACGCCGCCTCCCACCACATTGCCCTTGCAGCTCCACTGGCTGGCCCGCACCCACTGGTTGAGCTGGTCGCGGACGCAGTTCCTCCGCTGGGCCTCGCAGCGGGTCTGCAGGATGCAGGCGCCCTGCTGGTCCCTCCAGCAGCCTGCCTGCTTGTCGTCCACGCAGACCCTCCTCTGGCAGGAGGAGCGCTTTCCCTGGCTCTGGGGCCGCGGACGCAGCTTGGAGGCGCACTGGCCCACGCCGCTAGAGCCGGGGATGTTCCGGCAGCGGGTGATGCAGGTCTCCCGGATGGGCTCCAGCCCACTGTCCCGGCGGCGGCAGTTCTTTTCCCTGAGGCGGCAGGCGGGCAGGCGGGTGCACAAGTTGCTCGACTTGTTGCGGATGCACACGCTCTTCCCGGAGGAGAGTCCGGTGCAACGGCCGAGACAGGGGCGTCGGTCGTCGTCCGCCTGGGTGGCGGCGATCGCCAGGACGACGAGCATGAGGCACAGGCTGAGCTTGGACATGGTTTCTCGGGGATCTGCTGGTCTTTGTTGCTGGGAACTGGGACTGGTGGATTGATACTTTTCGGCTGGCCAGGCCGGGTTTATATAGCACCTGGAATCGAATGGGGGTTCTAGATGCACGCTGAAAACGCCATATGTTTTCTGTTTTGCCGAGGGTTTTGTTTCTAGACATGAATGGGGAGTGCGTTGTTTACGCATTATTGGGGCAATCTGATTTTATTTATTTTTATAAATGAGTCTTCGAGTCTCTTCTCTTAACTCTGAGTCTAGAGTATGAATCCGACTTTTGCCTTATAACTTGCACCTGTTTGTCAAGGTGCTAAACATTACTTTTGGTAAGTTAGGTAAAGGAATACGCTTCAAGGGGAAATATAATAGATTATATTACTGTTCCAACGCTGCGAAGCTTAATGTAAGGTAATGAGTACATAACTCACGATATTAAACCAACATCATTATGTAATCGAGGCTCCAGTGACGTGGGGCCAAGTGTGCAGCAGGTGCAATTGCCTTGGGTTAATGGCTCTTGACAATAACGCAGTATTAAGACAAAAGCCACAGCCACGCGTGCCACCAAAAACTCTTCTTGGGCTTTGCTTCCCAGGCTTTTGTTTCGTTTAACGATTCGTGGTATAAATAGTGCAGAGTGTGGGCTAAAGTGACATCAGAAGTTTGTGCAACTCCTACAAGCAATCAGGCAGAATGAGCAGCTATCAACTGACTTTCATTTTGGGTAAGTCTTTCCAAAGAGCTCAGAGATATTTTCAAATTATCTAAATATTTTGCCACGCAGGCATCGCCTTTCTGTGCGCCCTGGTGGGTGGCACCACCCAGCCGGCGAGCACCCGCCGTCCTCCGGTGACCACCGCTCGCCCCACCGCCCGTCCCACTGCCCGTCCCACCGCTAGGAGCTGCCCGCTCTTCCCGGAGGTCTGCTCTAGGGGCAGTCCCAAGGTGTGCGGCAGGACTCCGCGCGGCGAGTGCCAGCGGTTCGAGAACATCTGCCACCTGATGCTGGCCAACGTGCTCCGGCTGCCCGAGGGGGTGCGCCACACCCGCGACATCGAGTGCCGCAACGTGAGGGGCGACGGCCCCGCCCACCGCCGCCCCTGTTTGAATCCCTGTCCCGCACGCCCCGTCGTCTGCAAGAGGTCGCCGCCGAGCCAGAACATCTGCGTGAGGAGCCGGAACGGCCGACAGTGCAAGGTGCTGGCCAACACCTGCCAGTTGCGCAACCAGAACTGCCACAGCCAGCCCAGGAACAGTGAGTGATTTTCGGGGTGGTACTAGGAGTTCTTAAGCACCTCTTAAACCCTTTTCAGACTGGCTCCGCACCGACAGGAGGCGCTGTGGCCAGCTGCAGCTGGGCGACAAGCCACAGGAGTGCATCCGGGTGCCAGTGCGAACCAGCCCCAGGACCACCCGCAGGCCACGATCCACCCCCTCGCCTCGCAGCACCACCACCACTGCCAGGTCGGTCTGAGGGGTCAAGGACATCTGGGGGTTCCATACTTAGCTCCATCTGCAAGTGACCCCACATCCCATTTTTTTTTTTTCAAGCAACTACTTTGTATTTTAATAAAACATAAACTGCATGTCATGACTAAAAGAGATTTTCCTCTTTGCATAAGCATCTGGTGGGCTGATAGTTATAATAGGAGTAAATAAAAATTATTCCGGTACAAGGGTTCCATTACTTTTAATTGTGAAATTTAACAGTTTTAGTTTGTGTAAAGATTTTAAACTTTGCTTTTTATATGATATCTTTTTTTTAGTTTCTAAAATGTTCTACCCTGATTGAAGTATTTTTTAATTAAGTCATGCTTTTAATTTGTTTTTTTAGTGAATATTACGTTTTCGTATGTAATTCAATGAAACATTTTATACTCATTATAAGATATTAATATTTACTATTCCAAATTTTTATCAGTGATGAAAGCATTCTTCTCGATCCCATGCTTCGATTTTCGTAGGATTCCAGGTATAATTAACTGTTCAATGTCCTCGGTGCCGACCCTGGAAAAGTCCCCGCTAATGACCACTGTCGTTTCTCAGCTGCCTTCCCAGTCCCCGTTCTATCGATGTTTCTTGGCATTGCCCAGACAACGCGGATTGGAGGGAGAAGTTGGCCAAGAAATCGAAGTAATAACAACTCAAATTACAATTGCCGAGTTCCATGTTATTTCGTATGGAGTCCCTCGTTGTCTAGCTGTCCACAGAGCACTAATTAATTGACGGATGCCAGGCCAAATTGGCTGAAATTGCATATTCAAGTGGCTGCCTGCGTTTTGGTTTCCTTTTCGGGCGGAAAGTTTATTGAATTACACACATTACGCATACGCAGTGGCGGCCCAAGTTTGGCGAAACAAATGCCCAAACTTGCCGCTGACTGGCATAACTTTCCCTGCTTTCCTCGTGCTTAATTAAAATCAGAATCAGAATCCCTAATCAACCCGAGTTCAAATCAAACGAGTCTAGTTTGCGGTGGAGTCTGTCAATGGTTTCTATGGTTCTTTTGTTGCGGCTTCGAGTGCAACAGATCCCGCTGGCTGATTAATGAACAGTCATTGTGGCTTCCACTTGCTGGGGAATATTTTAGTATTTTAGGAATCTGTATAAAATACCATGAACCAAGGTCCAATTAAAAAGTTACAGACACAGAGACCTTGTTTTTCTTGTGAAATGTGTTTACGTATGTGTTTTCATATCAAGAGAAAGTTTCAAAACGTCTGGTTCTCAGAAACTCGTATAACTGTTCAAAGGAGCTTAAAAGCGGTAAGTTTGGAGGCCTTGTAGAGCACTCCCCTTACGCGCCCTCTCACTCTCGACCTCCCGCTCCAACTCTCCATTCTGCTCTGAGCGCTTTCCCAAAGCTGGGCTTAACTTAGTTCCAATTTTCAAGAGAATCGATCAACACCCGCGCGCCGCGTAAAATCCCGCAGGTCCTGCAAGTTTGTTCATGTTTTCAATCGTATTGCGTCATCTATATGAAGTTAGTCAGCGGGTACCTTATGTGCAAACGTGTGTTTGGCGGGCAAGTAAATGGTTTTCTGGAAACATTGGAATCGTAAAATCCAAGAGAACTTAATATGGAAGAACTATATAGCCCTTTCCTAGTATGTAATTTAAGATCAAAATTATCATTTATGGCTAAGTTATAAGCGCCTTGACTTCAATTTATGTTCAATGCCATTGTTTTACTAAAATTGTCGTATTTTTTCCCCTTGAATCGGTGTTTTTTCCATCACACTTGTGTTATATCCCTTGCTTCCATTTTGGTTTCCTTTTTTGCTTTCCCATTTGATTTCGTTTTGTGGCCTCGAACTTTACGACAATCATCTACATCTGTTGAACATGGGCCGCCGGCGAAACCGTTTGTCATCTCGGCTCAACTTAATGAATGCGAATGAATGCCAAATGTTGAGTCAACGGCCCGGCCACGCCCACATATTTGTAGCTATTTTGGACACAGGCGAGGTTGTTGAAGCTAATTGCGTTGATTCATAAATTAGAAACACCTTTGATTGCGGGTTCGTGACTATATCCACTATGTCCACTATATCCACCCCTCATATGCATATAAAGAGGCCGAATATATGACCCTGCTAATGACTGACCGCCTGCCCGGGTGTCAAAAATATAAGAAGGCATTCACCCTCTGGCTTCATGCACTGAAATAAATATTTTAAATGGTTAATAGACAAGGATTACATGGCCCAAAATTCTGGACCCTAAGCATAACAGTGTGTGTGAGTACCAAACAGATAGTTCTGAATACCCACTTAGTTACGAAATATTAATTTTCAAAAAGATTTCTCCTGGTGCAATTGTGAATGGAGTCCTTAATTTATGAACCCCCAAAAGAGCGGTGCATAATTTGCCACTTGACCTGCCCTACGTGAACTTCTCGGAGGAGCACTTCTTTTGGGTGCGACTTGCAGAGTCATCGGTTGACACCCAGGGCGGAAAAGTCGATAGTCATGGGCGGACTATTTACGGATGATAGATGACCCGCAGTTATCGGACAATGATAACACCTGCCCCTAGAAACAGCACAGCTTGCTATTGCAGGGGCATTAATAGGGAAATATTTCATTTCTCATTTTACTAAACCATTTAACAACTAATTAATTTGTAGAAAGGGGACTTAGCTTGCTTAAATAAAGAAATTAAAATGTACACCCAATTGGGATGTTCTCTTTTCCCAGTTGCCACAGCTCATAGTGGCCAAAACTTTCGCCTGGCTGTTTTGAATTCACTTTTGTCTAAAGTGGTCTTCAGAGGGACTTTGATAATTACGAAATGAGCCAACCATAAACATAAACTAAAACGAACTGCCGCAAACGACAACTTGCAATTAAACATAATACCCGAAGGGCCAAAAATACTCAGACAAACCGCTGAGAAATGCAGCCACATTTATTTGGGCTATACATTAAATTACTGAATTTAGCATATGCATGTGTTCTTAATTTTTTCAAGAAAATATTTTGGATAGCACTGAGAGACGGTAGGAGTTTAACAATTTAACGATTTTCATAAGTAATTGTTTAAATTCCGCTCACGGCTTACCTGAGAAAATCCCTCCACATAATGAGCATAAATACTGCCGAGTATAACGAATGGCTCCAATTAATTCACGTGGCTTGTGCTGTTAGTAATTTGAATAGGGCGGTGGGTTCCGCAAAATAATAACAATTAAGTGCAAATCGACGGACCGCAGACATCCGAAAATGTGGCACCTAACATCCAGAATTTGCGGTTATATCATCCAAATATCCAAATATTTTGGAACCGTAATTAGTAGCACCAGCAACAAGTGTCACAGGTTTTGTGTGTCCAATATTACATTAAGCATATTCCCCAAACAAAATTTTTTGTTTAAATTAATCTTTGGAAACAATAAAGTAATGGCGTCGAGATTAACCGGAAAGACATTGCATGCATTTCTAAGGGCAACTGTCGAACCCACTACATTCGATGGTATCCTTAAAAGGTTCATCACCCCCGACCTAAGTAAAAATGAAATACATCAAATCAGGAACAAATTGCGGAGTCTTTTGGGAGCTGGACTTCGTTTGGGACACTTCAAGATGCTTAATGGACACTTCTTAACCGATAACCATGTGGAAGAGGTGCAGAAACTTTTGGGGTCCGAGTCCCAGGACGAATCGGATGATTCCCAGGCAAGCTGGGTTAGTGTCGACCATAAGTCTATTAGGTTTAACAACGATTTGCATGATGACAGCCTGTAGAAAATTTGACTTTGGGTCGATTTGGATCACGGAAACCATGAGTCCCAGGGTCGGTTAAACAGTACATTGGATATTAAATGGATTTGAATAGCGGTAATAGTTTCGGTAGGATTATCTCCCATTAAAATTTTAAATTTTAACAAAAGAAGCCGTGTAAATCTAAAATTTAATGCATTTGACTGTAAATCGTTGAGATTAAAACAGTAACTTAAGCATAGGGAAGTCGTGTTAAATTTAATTATTAATAAAGAATAACTTATGCAAGTCACACGCCAATAAACTCATCTCACTTCATTTTCCAGGTGCCTTAAAGTTTAGACAAAATATTAATTTTCAGGGAAACACTGTCTTGCAAAAAACTAATCAGCGGATTACGGCTGCTTTTTGCGGGAGTGCATAATTATATTGAAAATTAATTAGCGACTGGCTGGAAAGCTTAATTGCCTTTGATTATACGCATCCATCGATACTCGGGCACTGCGGCCTGCTCACCCCACCGCACACACTCACATGAGCTCATCGGGGAGATATACGGGCAGGGGTGGGGGATTCGACTCGGATACTGGGCGGATGTGGAGGCATAATGGGGGGACTTAGACAGCCATAAGCCACAAGCAGCATTAAATTGGCATTAGGTCAGGCCTGTGGACCTTCTATGTTTTTCCCCAAAATTGGATTGAACTCAACTTGTTTTCCTTTTTTCGGTCATCACCAGACATCCGAACATTCTGAGGGTGACGGGGCACAACATGCCACATTGTCGCTTCTACTTTTATTTATTTTCTTAGACGCATTTTGAAAAGCCAATAAGCAGCTTTCTGATTGATTATCTGCTGCGCGCTCATTGTCTCCGTGTTGATTTAAGCCGCAACACACACGCTCAAGTACAGTGGGCCCTTGCTATGAGGAATTTATTGAATCCTTTCCGAGGGCTCATTTTACTCATTTCCTCTCATTTTCCGCTCTTAACAATTTGTATTTTGGCTGACATGGTTTCAAAAAATGTCTGAATACGGAATTTTATACTTCGTTGACCTCGAAATTAAATTTCCAATCGATTGGCATTAAAGACTGAAAACTCTAATTTTTGACCAATTTTCGCACAAAAATCAAAAAAACAAAAACTAAGGTGTTACATTTAAAAAATGCGAAAATTGGTCAAAAATAAAATTTTACGATAAGTGATAAGGATTGTTAGCCTAGGTTGTTAGCTACTCAAAACAGTCGGTCTTTCAGCTGTGCGCCTCGTTTTGACCATGTTACGATTGAAAAACCTCAAAAAGAATATGGCTATTTGTATCTGAAATCCTTCACTAATTTTTTGACCCAAAAAACTAGGTATTTTGGCAATAATTTTGGTAAATATAGTCGGAATATGGAATGCCATACTTCGTTGAGCTCGTAATTAAATTCCCAATCGATTGGCATTCATACCTAGAAACGTATATTTTTGACAAATTTTCGCAAAAAAAAAAAAAAATCATGAAAAATGGGAAAATTGGACCAAAAATTATTTTCCGGAAAAGTAATGGTGATCGGAAGCCCAGGTTGTTAGCTGCTCAAAATAGTTCGTCTCTTAGTTGTGCGCCTCGTTTTGACCAAATTACGATTGAAAAACCTCAACAAATAGGGCTATTTTCATCTAAAATCCTTATACTTATTTTTTGACCCAAAAAAACTAGGTATTTTGGCAATTATTTTGGTAAATATAGTCGGATTATGGAATGCCATATTTCATTGAGCTCGTAATTAAATTCCCAATCGATTGGCGTTCATACCTAGAAACTTATATTTTTGACAAATTTTCGCAAAAAATCATGATGGTAACCCCTATGAAATATGGGAAAATTGGAAATTTCCCGGAAAAGTATGGGGATCAGTTGTTAGCTGCTCAAAACAGTCGTTCTTTCAACTGTGCGCCTTGTTTTGACAAAGATACTATTAAAAACCAGCAAAAAAATAGGAGTATTTTGATTAAAATTCTACTTTCCATTTTTCGACCCAAACAGCTAGGTATTTCGGCAATCATTTTGCGAAATAAGGTCGGAATTAATAACGCCATACCTCGTTAAGCTCTTTATTGAATTTCCATTAAGTTGGCATTAAAACCTGAAAACTGGAATTTTTGACCAGTTTTCCCAAAGAACATTATGAAAAAAATGAAAATTGGGGGAAAAAATACATTTGCCAAAAAGATATGGGGATCGGTAGCATAGGTTTTTAGCTGATCAAAACAGTCGGTCTTAAGCTGTGCGTCTCCGTTTGACTTAGTTTCGATTAAAAACCCGCACAAGAAAGGTGAGTTTTGTCCAAAGTTTTTAACGCCCTATTTCATCTATACGATATAGTCGCCCGATTCATATTACATTTTATTTGTAGCTCTTTTGTTTTCATAATAAGGTCTGTTTTACTTAGACAACAACGTTAAGCTGGGGTCTACTGTATTTCTACGCCTTTCTATCACTGTTGTTGTAGTTGTGTGAAAGGCGTCAATCAATTTTGAGTGAAATAAATGAGGCTTGTGCAGCATTTTGCGTTCCCAACACTTTAGGGCCTCAAAAGGGCTTAAAATTGTAAATTCCTCCCAGACACATATTAACCCGTTCCCCCGTTACAAATTGCTGCTATCTCATCTGAAAATTTGAGTAGGGACCCAGGTTTTCAAATTCAGCTCAGCTTCCCCTGTCTTTCCGCAGTCTCTCAAACACACAGGAAAAGTTGCCGAAAATCCCATGATTTTGATGAAAACTTTCAAGTGCACTGGCATTTTGCCGGCGCTCTTCTCCTTCCGAATTTTTCCACCAAATATTTGAGCACTTAGTCGGCCTGAGCAACGCTTTTGGCCAAAGTGCATTAAGCATAAATGAGAAAGTGTCGCCACCCTGTTTGCAGTGATCCTCATCGCTCTCAACCCATTTTTGCGGCTTCGAAAAGTAGCTTTTTTCCATGTGAACGTTGCAAAAACTGTGTGGTCTTCCAAATGCAAAGTTTAAACTTTTCCAAATCACAAAAAATAGCAAGAATTATGGGTGCGTGCACGCCATCAGAACACTAGTTTTTCATAACGCTCCGGTATCTGTGAAGTTTGCAAATTGCAATTTGTAAATTTGGGATTAGTCAAAATGAAACCAAACAAATAATTTTTTGGCTTGTAATGGAATATTATACTAAAAATTTGACTGTTCTGTAAAGCTGAAAATTATGCTGTCCTATTTTAAAAGAGAGTGGAGTTTTCTATTGTGTGTAAAAAGTGTAAAAAGTTGTGTTAGATTGTATTCACTTACTTTCAGTGAATTTCACTTGCCTAATGAGGCTGAAAGTAAATCCCAATTATGAGATCGCCTTCCAATCAAGATTTTTCCGGGTTCCCACAATCAGATGCGCATATTGCATTCGATGCGGAGAGATAACGCCCTGAACAGTTTTCAGTGAGCTTTTCAGTTTATTTAGTTTGGCGCATCGCACTTCGTCATGCGTTTCGCGCTGAGATGGCTGGCCATCTACTACCTTACTCTGGTAAGGTCGGAATCGCCAATCGATCCCTGCCAGAACTTCTATAAAGCCGCCTGCGGCAACTGGTCGGCCATTCACGCCGAAGATCCGTACTCAAGCTTAGTGGAACAGTTGGACTACAGTTACCATGAAAAGTTGGCCGAGTTGCTGGAAAATGAGTAACTTACCAATCCCGGAATGGAAACTTTAAAGGGCGATTAATGATTGATATTGATTCCAGAGAGCAGCACGATGGGCCCCGCTTCCAGCAGCTGCTCAGGGACTTCTACACCTCCTGCCGGCGACCCCTGACTAAGGATCAGGTGCTGGGATTCCTGGAAAAGCTGATCGAAATGCCAAGCCTCGGAGAGGACGAGCTGACCGTGGGCCTCACTGCCGCCTTCCGTCCAGGGGCTTTGTTGGATACATCGAGTTTCGATCTGGAAAAAATATGGCAGGAGCTACTGTTCCGCACAGAAGATTGGAACCCAAATGAAACGAACACAGAGCCCTTGACTCGCCAAAAGTTCGATATTTTGTGGGCAGGCAGGCTAGAAGGAGCCGATTTAAAAAAGGAGCTCTTTTGGGACGAGTTGAGCTGGCTGGAATCCCAAATGATGAACACTTCATCGTCCGAGGCCGCGGACGGAGCCCCAGTTTGTTGGATGCTGCCCTGGCCGGAATTCAGGCCCGACTACAGGCGATTGGCTCGTTTGCTGGCCAACAAGTCCAAGCGATTTATGCTTACCTATATCTACCTGAGACTAAAGCTGCTCCAAGGACCTGGCGAGTCTTGGCGCATAGGACGCGCCGAGTGTGCCGACCACGCCAGACATATCCTGACCCACCCTTCGGTTTGGTTGATGGAAAGGAACCATCCCAGACTCAAGGAGGAAAGCGTATTGCGGGACATTTTCCAGGAACTCAAGCACCGTTTCGGCCAGAGACTCCGCGCCAATAGGAACAACTTCTCCAAGCACACGCAGCAGTTTCTACTCTCGAAGCTGGACAGAATGACGCTGCGCCTGAGTGTCCTTCCCAGGCGCTGTTCGGAAAGGACCTTGGCGCAGCGCATCAACAGGCACTACAGGGATGTCCACCTGAGCCCCTCCGACTATTTCGGGAATCTCCTGGTCGGCCTGAAGCACTCGAGAATGCAGAGGGACCAGTACAACATATTGTCCATGATATCCGGGCCTGCCTCTAGAAACAGCTTGTTCCCCGTTCAGCCCTACCAGTACGGCACCTACGCCTCGCCCTTCTACTTGACTGAGAGCAACATGCTGATCGTGCCCCTCTCCCTGCTGGGGCCCCCGCTTTACACACCCCAGCAGCCGCAGATACTCACGTACAGTTCGCTGGGCTTCGTCCTGGGCCACGAGCTGAGCCACGGCTTCGACCCCGAGGATGTGGTCCTGAACTCCCGGGGCACGGCGAGTTCCACAGTCAGGAGGGAGCTCCGGAAGAACCGGAGGTTTCAGCGCGAGCTGAACTGCCTGAAAGGCCAGTTCAGAAGTAGACTTAATGAAAAGTTTGCAGACGCAAATGGCCTAGAACTGGCCTACTCCGCCTACTTTGACACCGCCCAAACGGATGGGAAAAGGGATCGCAAGGTCAGGGACTCCACCGAGCAGAAGAAGCAGTTCTTCCTCAACTTCGCCCAGTTCTTCTGCTCCAATGCTGATCTTTTGGAGGACAGTGCGGACCATGGCAGCGATAGGCGAAGGGTCAACGATGCGGTTTTCAATTTCCATCCCTTTCTAGAGGCTTTCAGCTGTGGAAAATCGCAAAATCAAAGACAGTGTCGGTTGTTCTAGTATGATAAGTACCTGTCTATCCATGAATCGCCATTAAAGATAACATATGTTTTCGTTTCTTTTCTACAAGTCACCGTAATACACCCAGGAAAGACCTTTTCATAATCTGAAAGCACCCAGTCGAAGGTAAAACGCAATGGTGTGACATTTAATTAGTTTATTTATATATTATTGGATGCACCGTCGTAATGTATGTACAAAATCAGATCGTAATCAGATGAAGCGGAGACCGAGCGGTCGTCACCAAATACATATAAATAGTTAACACATTCCATTCAGACAGACAACTTTCAGATATAGTTATGTCTACAGCTTACAGATGTGTAGTTGCAGCTTAAGTTGTGGTATTGGATTTAGTTGTGGCTTAAAACATTTAAACAAGAAACTGCCATGTAACTGTAAACCACTTGTACACACATCAACATTGCATTACACTGGCATGTTTCGGTTCTTACTCTAGAAAAAAAATGTGTGCAGCCTACAACATCAAGTTGAAATTCGATACGACTGACTTGTTATGCTATGTGTATTTCATTTAAATCGGTAAACTCTGGGGCTCAAAAGGTTTACGAATTTAAACGAGTTTCCAACCCTACAGCTATCTACACTTAAGAACTTTGATTAAGTTACAAAAATATTTTACAAATGGCCACACAAATGTAGCTCAGAAACAAACATTTTTACCTAAGCATTGACTCCAAATCTCGTAAATATCTTAAAATCGAACGTTAATCATCGTTATTACTGATTACTTGACTTCATTCAGATTTGCTTTATATTCCGATAGGTGCAACTCCTGGGTTTCCTGTAAGTATGTTTCTTATATCTACTATAGTGTATTCTTATTGTTGCGAACTGCGCATTCCCCCACCAGATTTTTCAGCTATCACTTCCTTAAAATTTCCCGCGTACCTTAGACCTACTGTATTCTGCAGAACATCTATAAGCCTAGCCCTTTATACTTAATATGAATATTACAACAACGCACATTAAAAAACACTCAGATTTCAAGTGGACCAACTTGTGTCTTATTAGGGGAACTAGAACAGACATTTAGTATTCGGTATGGGTATTGTTCAGGCTTCGCTTTTGCGAACTGGGAACTGATCAAGTTTCACACTTCCCTACAATATCTGTATTTAAACACTTTTAAACTGTATATGGTTATGGAATGGACTTTTCAAATTCAGATTGATTTTGGGGTGTCCATTATAATTGATTCCTTTGATATTGGGTAAAAGTATTTTAATCTGAAATTGTTCCTGTGTATGTTTTCAACTCCTGAAACCTTACTTTTCAGATCTGTTTTTGAATTCCATGTATGTATGTGAAGCCTTGGGGCAACGACGTTGATTAAGTTATAGTTTATACTAAGGAAATTGCAATGAAATTCTTTGTAAAACTCTAGCTAACCGAAACCTTAAGAATTAGGACAAACGATAAAGAGCTGAGACCATTCATGATGTCAGAACATGCCTATAGGAGCTCTTATAGGGGGTCAAATGTAAATGGGGCACTCCAGGAGGAAACTGAAGATCGGAACTGAGGATCTCGATAGCCGAACCCAGTCAGTTGCCAATCTAGACATTGCGCTCCTCGCTGATGATGTCCATGGTGCTGACCCGGCGCTGCTGATGGGGATGGGGATGGGTCTGCAGGTGGTGCGTTACCAGATGCTGGTGCTGCGGAGCCGGCTCGCCACCGATGATGACCACCGTACCGCCGCCGAGGGTGGTGGTGGTGGTGGTCGTTCTGGTGGTGGTGCTGGACGAGCGACGGTGGTCGCTGCTGCCCCGCCGCGGCACCAACATCACCAATTACTAGAGGACCGTCTCGTTGGTGCACGTGCGTGCCCCGTTGACGATCGAGTACTTCGTGGAGGTGTCCTTCTTGGTCATCAGCCGACCCAGGAATATCTCCTTGAAGGTCTCGCGGAACTGGCGCGACATGCCGCAGTAGATACCGAAGTTGATGGGGTAGCTGAACACCAGGAAGAAGTTGGTCAGCATTATGCAGATGTTGGCCAGGCCGTAGTCCAGGAACTCAATGATCAGGGAGCTCACGATGTGCATCACGGTGACCACGGCGATGGGGATCTCGGCCAGCAGGAACACGGAGACGACCACGATCAGCATCAGGGTGGTGCAGTTGGTCTCCCGCAGCTTCTTGCACTCCTTCTTCCGGTTCTCCCGGAAGAGCAGCTTGCGCCGCTCCTGCGCTTGCCGCATCGCCGCGAAGAGCAGGATGTTCAGCGTCACCAGGATGATGCAGGGCAGGAGATGTACGAACAGCACCCGAAACAGGTAGTAGCTGGTGTAGTACAGGTTCACCCCGATGTACTCGTGCACCCACATCGCCGTCTCCAGGTGGCACACCTGGGTGGGCCTCCCGTTCCACTCGATCTCCAGCGGCATGTAGGTGCGGTCGAAGAACCGCGGCAGCTGGTGCAGGATGGCCAGCAGCGCGATGTACGCCGTGCACCGCCTCACCCGCGGCATCGTGCACCACGTGCGGGCCATGGGGGCGTGGCACACGTAGATGTACCTGGGGAGCATGAGAAATAGGGCGATCAAATTAGCAGGGCTCTGTTTAAGGTATGCATTATTATTATCACCCAACTAAAACAGAAAAAAAGCCATAAATGAGGGCTTTGGCTAAGGCTTTCCATACATCCTATAGAGGATTTCTAATGCTATTAACATACCATTTTTCAAATAATAGGATACACCTTGTTTCTGATCACGCGACTTTATGCTCTAGCTTCTATAAGAACAAGATAAAGAATTCCCCACTTTGGCCTGTATATTTTGCTGTTTAAGAATTCTAACCCTCGCCATAAAATGATTTACTACTGGTTTACAAATAGTTTATCATTGAAAAATAGAGATATAAAAATATAATTTATATAAAAGTAAGCCTTAAAAATTGAATTCAAAAAAATTGTCAATCGTCGATTCGAGCTTAATTGGCGAATTCAGAGTGACATAAAATATCTAGACCAACACTTATAGCCATTAAACCGTAAAAGTCTTTATCTGATGTGTTTTTTTTTTTTTCAAAAGAAGCCGCGGAAAAGCCCTGCCTGCGTTCCAGTCAAGGCGTTAAGATCAGCTAACGAGCTCGGGCGTCTTAAACGCATTTGCGTAATATAATTTTATGGCAACGCCAACGGAAGATAAACCAATTTCCCAGGTGGGAATTTACGATGGCAATGGAGTGACAACGAATTGGCCAAATCCTAATTTGAACCATCACCACGACCCCATGAATGGCGAAGGCAATCAAAAGCCATCTGAAAAGCTAATCAAGTTGGCGCTTTGTAATTTCATAATTTGAGTAATTTGTCAGGGGTCGCCCTGCCAAGGAATAAATTTGTTTCCTGTGAAGATTTGGGGAAAAGTTTGCCGCTATAGTTGGCCAAAATAAGCCCAACACCCCCTCCCATAATTTCGCAATCTGAAAATCGAAGAATCTTTGATGCTGTATTTTCGGTTGGGGTCGGGTGGCGTTCCTTGAGCTCCTTGGCGTTGGTCTAATTTATGCGCATAATTATGGCCACGCCCATTGCGCTGGCACTTGAAAATGGTTTTCAATCAATCTTTTATTGAACCTTTGTCAGGCGGGGATTTCATTAAAGTTGAAAGCAACAGAAATACTAACAAAGGCGCAGAACTCCAAGGACGAAGGCGACAAACGATTTGGTTAGTCCTAAATGGAGTTGATATTAATAATATCAAATAATAATGTCTTTGTAATTATAACAATTTAGTTAATTTGTCCTAATAGGATGGCCCTAAAGTAAGAAAAACCCTTCGAAAACAACCCTAAACCAAGGAAACTTAAGGCACACAATAAATCAATCAAGTAGAACATGTCTGAAACAGGCAACAACGATATCATGAATAGGAATCTGCTACAGATAGACATGTTACGCAAACATGAAGTTTTAAAGAACAAAAAGGAAATTCCGTTTATCCTTTTTAGGGGAGGATTACCATTTGTGTGGGCTCTGACGTTGATTTCAATACCCTTGGATAAGGTGCGTCTGTCAGTCGAATGACTTTCTTTATAAATTTATATATATCGCTGTTTACATTTCTTTAGGTAATATTTCAGCTTTAAGTTCGTAAAGTCGTCGAGGGTATACCCATATATTGTGTTGTCTATAGATCCACTCGTGAATATCCACTCAAGCGCCATTCAGAAGTATGCCAATGGGCCTCGTACTATATGTGGACAAAAAGCGGCCACCTACATGCACACACATATAGCATACATTTTTTGTTATATGAAAATGTCATGGAGAGTGTCACTCACTCAGTGTGCACCTCCCCAGCTCCTCACCTCCCCACTTCACCCCGTCCATCAGTGAGGGCCATAAAAACACTTGAAATACAATAAGTTGACAACAGCCACAGCAGCAACAATACAAACAATAAACGCCGAATGTTTTTATCGCGCTACTACTCCTCGGGCAATTTTCAACGCATTTTAGAGAGACTCCTACCCCCTTCCCCACCTTTTTCCATATATAAATATTATTTAGCTATTTGCTGGGACCCAACCACCCAGCCACCCCCGCGGCTTCGACCACTTGAAAACGGCCCAAAGTCGCATAATGGCCCAAATATTTATGACTATTTTTTTGGCGCTCTTCAGCATCCACTCCACTTTGCAAATTTATTTCAAAAGCTGTAAAATTTATGATCCTACACATGAGTTAATAGAACAAAACGAAAACGCCAGACCAGCCCCATCATCCTCAGAAATGTGCGGACTCTTGAATGTGTTCCATGGAGATGGGGTGAAATTTATGTTACCCATACGAAATTAGTTTATTGTTCGAATTAGTGGCTTTACTTTATGGTTTCAGTGGCTGAAACAGTTTGGTTTAAGAGACCAGTGCCATGTGGTAGAGGAATGTGCCATCAATCGATTGATTGTCACTCGCATTACTCATACGCAACGTTGCCTTCGCCAAGGTAAGGCAATTTGTTTGTGTTTTCCCTCAAGGCTCTGACATTTTATTTTTGCCCACACAAAAACTGATTTATGGCCGTCATTGACAAGTCAACGAGTCAGTCATCCACTCCTTCAGTTACATCTCAACCGGGAGACCTGCGATGGGCGGTCCTACTTTTATTGGCCTAATTGCATACTTACCTTTGCACGGCGAGGGCCAGAGTTAGCCAAACGGAGATGGTGTGGCACATGGCTGGCATGATCTGTAAGTAAAGATGTGGGAATATGAGTATATACTACATAGGAAGGTGTGGGTTGCAATGCGGACTAGAATGAGCGTGTGAATCGCTCTTGTGTGTTCTGTAGCATACTTTTGGGAGGTGAATCGTCAAATGAATTCTTCTGAGTTTCAAGTGGCTAGGTGTCCTTTCTTTAGGGAACAATACTGGTTGATTCTAGGTATATTTCGAAACGTGTACTCTATATTAAAACACATTATTTCATAATAGTTGGGTGAATACTAAATACATCCACATTCCATTAAACACCCGCATTGGAATGTTTGAGGGTTTCGAAGGACATCTTGGACCGATAAGGGACTTTTAGCGTTTGAGGGTCTTGTAGGACATACTAGAATGATGAAGGATTTTTAATATGCCATCTGTACGTACAGAATTTTTCTGAGTTTCAGTTAATGTCCCTAATTTAAGAAAATATATAAGTAAACTTTAGAAACAATTATACATGTTAACTTAATATTTATCCACCAGCGGGACATGTGTACCTTGAATCCTTTGCTTAATAATGCTTAGGTGAATACAGATTAACTCCACATTTTATCTATGTTTGGGGGTTTTAAAGGGTATCTAGGAACGAAGATAGACTTTTAATATGCCACTAAAAAAACAAATTAAACACAGTCCATTACAAGAGCACACTCCAATGGGCATTGGACAAGATATACGTCTGCGATGTGTGAGTAAATCACCATTTGGCCCAAAGGCCCAGAGAGTCATTCCTCAGTCCATCTGCCAAATCGGATTTGTGGTGCTCAACTGCATTAGCCAGCGGTTAGAAGTAAGAAGGCAGGAATGAGACATCCGAGATTCTTGTAACTGGTAAAAGGCCGTTGCCGTCTCCACCTGGACAGGTGTCTGCTCCATTTATGGACCATTATGAGTGCGGCTCTGCGGCAGACAGCGTTCCATGAGCATCGCTCTGTGGGCTTGACATCGGACTTAGCCATATAATGCACAATCTGTGGCCTAATCCGGTTTATGTGTCTGACTGGGCTGCAATTACACCGACACGGACAGATAAACTCGCCTGGATATTTTACAATGAAACGGTTACCCCCTTTTTACATTAACATGGTCATGATGCGCACCATTATGGGAAGAGGAGGGATGGGGATTCGGAATGGGAATCGTAATGGGAAGGGGATAAGGAAGGGGATAGGGAAGGGGATGTGGAAGGGGTAGGGGAGGAACGTGCTGCCGGAGCACATTCATTCAGGGGAAGCGAAACGGAATCTTCAACTTTGACGCTGCAATGGCCGCCTGGTGGTTATTACCAAAACGAGGAGTGCCGCCTCGCAGGATGTGAGTTGAATTTTATGGCAGTCATACGCAGAGATAGTCTTGCCGCCACGCAGCCCAGTCAATCTCCAGAATCCCTGTTCCCCGTCCCTCGAAATCCATCTAGACATCCAGCCCAGCATGGAATTTAGCTGGTACAAATCCCCGGAGAGTCCACTAACAGCACGTAGCTACAATGAGCCAGTACAGTGGGGCAGAGTGCGTTGAAACTATAGTTTTTGGATATTGAAATAGGCCTGAGTTCCATTACATTTTAATACGATAAATGCAAATTCAATGAATACTTGATACATTGGACCATTAAACTCTGGTCTCTAAAACAAACAAAAGAAACTTTATTTCTAAAAGTAAAACTTTTGTTAAAATACAGGCTACCTTACTTTTTTTAAAATTGGGCCAAAACATTCTGATAAATGAAAATGGGTTGATTGCACTTATCACCCGGGACTTTTCTTTCGCCCCCATTCAGCGAACCACTATGCCTTTTGGCTTTGATGGGAACTGAGGGCTTATGCTTATGACTAAAAGGGGGTGGGCGTTTTATCAGCTTGACACAACTCCATTGAAGTGAGTAAACAGTTTTGCTTTGCCAACCCCTAAGGCCCCGATCCCGGATCCCCAATCCCGGAACCCTCATAGCCCCATGACCCCCATTCCGCGCCCTTCGAGTGCCATAAATTGAAAATGTTGATTAATCAAGGCAAACGTGCAAAGGGCAGGAAAGGCGAGGAAAGCTCTGAGTTTGCATGGCACTGCTGGAAAAACGCTCTCGAATGAATAAGTGCTGTGAATGGCTGAATGAATGGGTGGATGAGGATGTGAATATGAATGTGAGTGTAGATGGGTGGGGATTCCCCGGTTCGAGGGGCAGCAGGTGGCAAATGGCAAGTGGCACTAGCAGCGTTTTTTATTTTTTCATTATGCTGACAGAAGTGACACACACAAAAGGGAAATCACGGGAAATGGGGAAAATGTAACGTGGCAGCAAATGCGATAACGATAACGATAACGCGACGGGATCCAAAACAAAGCATCGTTCATCAGCCGGAGACAATGGAACCAGAGGGGCAATGAGTCCGAGAAACTGAAGCGGGTGGGATGACAAAAAGCTCCAGCCGAGCATTTTATTTAGGTCAATGAGCGTCGCGTCTTCCCCGAGAAACTTGGGTGGGTGGACTTGCGAGATGGAAACGGTCGGGTGTAAACGTAGCCAGGAGCCAAAGCAAACAGTTTTTCGCTTTTCGACCAGCCTTGGCAATTAGTTTGTGGCAAGAAAACCTACATTGGAGAAGAAGGAAGATACACTCACAAAGCAAACTGGGCTCATTAAACTCGGGAATTGTACTGTAAAACGATTTGGTTTTGATAAGAATTTTCAGGACATTTTAAAGTGTAATAGGCCCTGTCGCTTGAAAAGTATTTTGACTATTCAAAAATAAATATTTAAATTATCTTAAAGTTATTTTAAATATTCTTGTTATATATGAACCAATTTAAAAATAATTAATTTGGTATTGTGAGCCCTAAAACTCGGATCCTAAATAGTTTAAGGATGCGTCGCCAATTTCCCTAAGTGCAAAATGAGGTGGCCGGTAGATATTTGGGGTCTCTGTTGACTTACCTCATTGAAAATGCTGTAGGCCAGACACATGGAGACCGGATGCAGGGGCTTATAATGATTGCCGAATGTGTACATATACCAGAGGCCCGGTGCCGGAAATATAACAGTCAGCATATCGCATATAGCCATCCCTGAGGAGAGAGGGGGAGAAAGTGGAAATTAGAAATTATGGTAATGCTTATGCAAATCAATTTGATGATTTTAATGTAAATTGATTGTGTGATTGGACACCACGGACGGGAGCATGGCAATGTTGATGCCCAACTGCCTGAACCAATTTGGTCGCATCTGTAATCTGATTTCAGAGCTTAGAAGCGATTCGCTGATCAATTATTTACGGTTTCCCAGGCCAAAGAGGGTAAATTGGCTGTTGATTCTGCTAGAGTTCAGGTTTCATTTGTGGACAAACACTGAGAACTGCAAATAACAAATTCTGTTGTCAGATTTCCCATTAATTAAAATACGAGTATGTTTAAACAACACATTTTGTATTACGAAATAAATATTAATTAATTTTGGCAAAGGTAAATGATGTTTACTTGCAACTTGCTAAATAAAACAATAAAACCACTAATCGACTTCTGCCGTTTTCGCTTGTTCTCGGCCCAGTGACATTTGAACCGAGCGAATGCTCTCAACTAACTGACGACACACCCTGATGACCTGACCTTTGCGCACTCATTGGAATGACAGACCTCTGTGGCCATCCGGCTGTCTGCACATTTTGGCTGAGTACAGCGAGAGGAAATTATCCTTTTGATGATTTTTCCAAGTTCTTTGACGGTACCGCATATCAAATCGACATGTTAAAGACTTATTAGATTTTGTAATATCGAATTGATATCTGTGTTTGTAAACAAAAATTTCAATTTAAATTACTGTGCAAATGTAAATGCTTTTGGGTGTGTTTGAAATAAATAATAATAATATTTTAACCGCATTCTCAGTGACAGAATTAACGCGAAATGTGATGCAAGACAAATGACCATTTTTGGACTCATTTTCGACAGTGTTTCAAGCCATTTCTGTTGTGGTTGCTGCTGCAGGGCCAGAGTTCATTTCACGTTTGGTGCGCTGTCACTTGAACCGAATGCGATTAGCCTTGGTCTGCGCTTGACACCCGGGGGGGCCGTGGGTTGTGGGTGGTCCAGGCGGCGGTTGAGAGGTGACGGGTCAAGGGACCCTAACCCATTGACAGCCGGGCGCGAGAGACGAACTTTAAAATTTTAACTTTGTTCCTAACTGCGTCTTTCTTGTGTTTTCCCAAAGATTTTTGGGAATACTTTATTAACTCATCAGCTCAATCACTCTAACTACTGTTATAACCATTGTGACTTAAAAAAACGTCACCCTAAGCCCGATTACTTTTCATTCAAAGCATTAGTTATATTATATATTTAGAAAATTTTAAGTGAATTCGAGTATTCGCGAACAAATAATTTAATTGCGGTTACTCTTTTTACAATGATTACGGCCCCTGATTTTTAGGCTTGGTTGCAAAAAATCTTGTCTTTTGCTAGGAATTTTATGTTCTTGTAAGATCCCCATCCAGCTCTGTTTTTCCCATCGCCAGACAGCAAACCATTAGCATTACACACGCTATTAGAATATCTCAGCATTACGCGGTGTGAGACAGATCCCCTGGGATGGGGTCACGAGAATCGGGGGGCATACAGGGGCGGCCTTAAGGAGCACGCACATCGCCAGCTATTTGAAATCTCACAAAACTTCTGCCTGATTTAACATTGTGGCACATTAAGCGCCAAAAGGGGCGACGCTCCGAGGACGCGGCATGCATTACATGGAATAAGAAGACAGGCAGTTAGCTTCGTAAACCCCAAGTTTATATACCCTTTCTGATAAAATTGTCAAATTTCGATGGAATTAAGAACTGATTTTTATCGTGAACAAAATTAGTATCTCACTTTGATATCATTATTTATATAATGTTTGCTCAATATCCTATTAACTTGTCGATTAACAACCGTAGCTAGCTAGGCATGTCAGTTTGCTTATAGGGTCGCTATACTGTATATGCTCTGAAATTGTCATTCTGACTGAAATTATTATGCCCTCTGCAAGGGAATAAATATAAATAATAATCATAAAAGGCGGCGTCTGAATGGGGAAGTCAAAATGGTCCCAATCAGGTGCCCGGGATGGGGGGCCCTAAATGTCTGCTGACTAACTTAAAATGTATTAACAAAACGTTTTTTAGATGTTAACGATAAAACCGAGAACATAAAACAAAAGTTGTGATCATTTAAGCCAAAAGATAGAAATTTTTAAAAACGTCTCTGGTCGCAATTGAAATATAGGTAAATACCTTGACCAATCTACTGTTCCTACGGTAGCTCTAGGACATAGTCACCCGATGGGCAAGAAGTTAATAAATACAACTTAAAATGCACAACCGCAAAGTTTTATAAATTCCCCCCCTAGTTTCCTGCATAAATTCACCATCTTTCTTACCAATACAAAATGCAGCCGAGTTCCAACCTAAGAGATTTTTGTTTCACCCCAGTTAAGTTCACTTTGTACACTCACCCATCAGTACAAAGTTGGTGGGCGTGGCCATGCTCTTTTTGCTCAGGACGAGGACGATCAGGGAGTTGGAGATGATGGTGGTGATCAGCAGGAAGGGCATGCAGTATCCGTAGAGCGGAATGGCGTAGTCCAGGGGCGAGTCGCAGGTGAGGTTCCAGTAGCTGACGTTGTTGTCCTCCATGCGGCAAGGACCGTCGGCCATCTGCTGGTAGTTGGAGTAGTCCAGGCTCTCATTCCCGTAGTCGGGGAGTTCCAGCTGGGACTCGTTGGCCGCCAGGTGGGGTCCGCCCATAAGGCGCGGATCCCCGAGATCCATTTCCGGGCTGGCGGATGGGGCGAGACGGTACTGGTACAGTACGTCCGTGTTGTTGTCCATAGCGCGTGTTTTCTCGCCTCCTCCTCAATTGGCCGGTGAGGCCTGCAGACCCTTCATTTTTATGGATCTATACCGTTCTATTGATGTTTTCGTCCTGAAAAGAAGTAAACGTTTTATGTAAGCACATGATCTACAAGTTATGTGGAAGTACCTAGCAATACGCCCAAATTCATCGTTATCTTTGTATCACTATATTTACATGTTGCCTTCTTTGAGACTGGAGCTGCACTGACTGATACACAGAAAATGCAACCCTTTAAAACTGCCCGCACAGAAAAGATAATGTAGAAAGATAATACGCTAACTTATGAGCATTAAATGGAAAGTACGTTTAATGTTTATTAAAGCCAAACAAACACTGGCCAACGGCATTTGCATTTACTAATCTTATTTGTCGTTATACTTCAAACCAAGCATTTGTATTTACTTTGATTACTTTGTACTCATCTCAAGTTTGACTTTATGTAAGCAAGATTCGATATAAAATGCTGCTATAATTAAAACCAAACAAACGGGCTAAAACGTAGTTACAATCGCACCTCCAACAATTAAAAGTTATGATATAAAATTTTGTGATGCAAATTGATTATACTAAAGACATCCGAATATATTTATTACTCTATTCCTGCAGCGTGCCGATTTCCTCGAGAATACATAGTAGTCACTCGGCGCGCTTCGTCACTAAGCGCACTGCTGTTCACAGTGATTAAAGTGCAAGTTTTCAGTTTCGTTTTGCAAGCTAAATGTATATTTACTTTTGCTGCAGCAGACTGTAAAGTTCTTCCTCTAGACTTTTCTCCTTTTATAAATGTCTACTACAACAAAGCAGTTACATTGATTTGTTTGTCCAAAGCTTGTTAGTCCGAAACTTTTGACATTGTCCGCAATATTGTTAAAAATACCACCGACAGGTGCAAAATGCCTCCGCATTGAAAATAATCCAAGCAAAAAGGCAACCATTCATTTGTCCGAGCGATACCGACCTTGGCAAAAGGTCTAAAGGTAAACAGCAGACCAAAATGTTTGTTTGCCAGCTGTCATGAATATTCAAATCGACTATGATTCTTTTATAAGCGCAGTAAAAGCGTTTCTTGTTTGACTTGTGCTGCCTGGGGAAATGCAAGATAGATCAAATAAATTGGTATTTTTAGTTTGATTGGTAGAATGTGTGATTGAAGAATCATGAATCGGCTTGTTTAATTATACCCGTTGCTTGAGGAAAAGAGTATGTTGTATTCGCTGAAAGGTATATAATTAAATAGGGACTAAAACCCTTGTGATGTTGTAAACACTCGTACTGTCAGGCAACTTGCAAACATTTCTAATGACTTTAATCTCGATTGAAGTATGATTACTGCTTTCCAAACAGCCCGCAACCTTGGGCTGAAACATTATTTCATATAAGGTTAGTTTTCAGCCTTTTCATCCCGGAAGCCAACTAATAACAGAGCATTCGGCATGTTTATGTCATGTTTATGCTGCCCTTTTAATGGTTTTATTTTTCGCATTGCCAATCCAAGAACTTTCCCAATACTTTTGACTTGCCGTTTGCTATTTTCCACTTCTTTTTCGTCATGGCTACATTGACCCACATAAGCGCAAGAAGAAGAATGGGCCCGGGGTCAGGGGTCGGGGTTGTCTCCCAAGGAGAATATTGAATGTGGACAAGAGACCGAAAACTCATTTATTCAGAATGTTCTACATGCCTAATGCGATTTAAGTGGGCCATTTGAAGACGGAGAGCGATGAAAATGGCAGTGGCAACGGGGGGAAATTAAAGAGCGTTTGTGAAATGGGATTAACAATCCTCCCATAATAAAGGATAAAAATAATTTATTTACATTGCCATGAATAGGCCTACACACATTTCCATATCCGCTAAACAAACCATTTAATGAATTAAAAAGCACAATAAAATCTGAAGCTCTTGGCAATTTAATTTCAATAAATGCAACGTTAATCATTAAAATAAACATTTCTTTCGGCGCCCCACAGAAGCACCTCGATTTGGATTTACAAATTTAATTTATGTACACGACTGCATCTACAGTTTATTTATTTTAGATTAAATTGTACAGCTCATCAATAATGCGAGCAAATGCATTTGAGCACAATTGAATGAATTATTAAATTAGTTCCGGCTATTTTGACGGGATTGCTGGGCATTTAAAAGGATCGGATCGAATCGGATCGGATCGGAAAATGTGGAGAGGCGGAAAACAGCCAAACTGAATAATCAACTTGCCGTTGATTGTTGGCTGCCAATCAACGCAAAATCAAATGTCGTGGGAGCATGCAAAATGCAATCAAGGCCGTCTGCAACAGCGGAACGAATCGGAAGGAGGAGCGAGATGAAACGAAATGGAAGTATCAGGAAAATATCAGGAAAATCGCATGGAAAACCCGTCAGTTACAGCCGCGAAACCGCAGTGGAAATAACTCAAAGCCGGGCCATCTCCACCCGCTAGCCCACTGGCACGCCGGGTCCTTTTAATTAGCCCTTGAAAGCCCACTCCAAATCGAAGAAGAATCTCGGCGGGAAATTCCACTCCACTCCTTAGCGGGCTGTTGGCTATCAGTCACTTTCTCTAGCTGAATTTACTGCACAGAGAAAAATGGCTCAACAAACATTGTTTCCTTTGCATATGTTAACCAAATATTAAAAGGAAAATTCTTAGTTATTTTTCTTTCAGGGTTTTTCTTTGGCAGTTAATGTAATCTTGATTTGACCTTAAACTATAAAAACAAATTATATCTTTCCATCTTATTTGATAACCACTTGAAGTACATGAAAGGCAACAAGTTGAATCAACACATAATGTCCAATCTATTTTTTCCCGTATCAAGAGAATTTTCTGAGCTCTTTTAAACTGCAATCAATCGTGCCAACTGGTGGACAAGTCCCAAATTAAACCAAGTCTGCAAACGGTCCCGTGTAATTAACTTAGGTGTTGCATATCGATTTCCTGGTGGCTCACTAATTACGCCCTCGCCTTGGCTTTTCTTTTGACACACGCTCTGATCTACTATATTTTCCATCCTGTTTGCCCACCCGCTTTTCCGCCCGCCAATTCGCATGGACATTAGCCGTCATCTTTGATCCATCACTACGTGAGCGAGGAAAAGGCGAGAAGACGATTATGAAAAACTTTGGCAAGGACAACGCAGATGCGAATCTTTCTTGCAAACAACACGTGCACACTTTGGAGTACGCTAGGAGAAAAAATTACCCCACTTGGTTGTATAACTTGATATAGAAAGAAATAACATAATATCATTTATAATAATTAAAATTTAATTTCTTTTCTATATAAAAATCTTTTTTAGTTCTGCATTGAAAATGCTTGTTAGTTCCTATGACAGCTTTATAATATCCTTGTTCAAAGTTGTCCCCCTACGCCCACACTACCTGAAAGTCAATTCGAGTTTTTTAAATTAAAAGTTACAGTAGTAATATTCTGCTATCGTCTCAATGATCACATCAGCTATCTGATGAAAAATACAATTTTTTATTTTATTTGAATCTGTTCGAACATTACGAGTATAAGTATTATTCACCAGACTCAACCGCCTTTTAATTAGTTTAAAATTAGCTGTACATATGTACAACTAGTTATACCTTGTTTTTTCTGCGTGTACTCACGTACACTCAGATGCACGCTCCCACACTTATGCATAGTCAAGTCATCATCATAAAGCGATTAGTGGAACTAAAACTGCCATTAAAATGCCTAGGCCTTCACCGTCTTCGCTCTGTCCCTTTCTCCCCCTCCACTATCGATGCCCTTCTGTCGTCATGGACATCTATCTCCAAATGAATTTCCAATATATAGTGTAGTTTCTCCCACAAAGAGCAGGCTTTAGTAGTATCAATTGAGCATTATCTCCGAGCTGTGTGCAATTGATGACGAGAAAAGCACTTGAACCATTCACTACCATTTAATACCACTTTTTTAACATTGCATTCAACATTTAAAGTTTTAAAACCAAATTTAATCAGAAAATGATTTGTCATTTAAGAGTGCCCTTCCAATATATGAGCGAATTCCAAGGTCGATATAAGCACTGCATCGATGTTTGTGTCATTTGCGCCCCATTTTCCACAGCCTGGTTACGCCCACTTTCCCTGTACTGCCCTCCTTTACAAGTCTTGTTTTTACAGGGCCAACCGAAAAAATCGATCAGAAAGAACGATGTCGTCGTAAAGTCGGGGGAGCATGGGGGATTTGCTTTTGGTAGATGAACTTAATTGTACTTTTTAGCTGAAAAAAGCAGCACGTTCCCCCAAAGGCCTGAATGGCTGAGCGTGGGAAATAGGGGCGTTGAAAAAGTGGGCATGGCCACTGCCGCAGGACAAGATGAACGAACGAGGGAGACGGTATGTGCCGCTGGATAGCTTAAGTAATTTCTCATTTTCCATTTAGGCGACTCTGTTGGCATTTTTGTCTTTTGCCCTCCGGTTTTTAATGCTTGTTTTCCTTGGCCTATTCCCTTTGGAGGGCTATACTTTTTGCTGGCATACAGTTAATTTTTTTAGCCACTTTTTGCAGTGCAATGAATAAATTTAACAACAAGCAGACATAGAAAAAATCATGCATCCCATAATAAGTTAAAATTTGAAAACATAAGTTAGAGATGGCGAGAAAAAACATTTTCTCCATTAATCGGGTTTCTTTAGAAATCTGAAACTTATGTTATCTGTTCTGTATACATCTGTCGAACATTTCTGTTTGTAAATAATCATTCAGCCTGATTGTACTTGCACTTGTTTATAAAATGTTATTTGCCATTGACAATTGCACTTCATTTTACTTGTTCTATAGTTGTTTTCAAGTTGACTTGTAGACTTAATCAATTGTAATCGTTTAGGGGATAAGAACTTCTGCTCTCGCTCTGCCTATTAATTTTGCGGCTTTTACAGCTTGCTTTGAGCAAGGAACACGAGATAAAGCAGCGGCATTAGGCCGAGCGGCAAAAAGAAACTTCCCAGACATGTTGAATTAGTATTTCACATACGTTTTTCCCCGGCCTCGCACTTTCCACCGATGGTTTTCCCGCCAAACGCTTAAAGCGTTTAGAGTTTTCTCGCCTAAT